CCAGGAGTAGCCAGGGACAACAAAAAGAAATAATGGCCAGTATTTCATCATAAATTTCATTATATTTCATCATAAATCTGGGAGAAAAATGCAAAAATTTATCAGCCCCTGTTACTGAAGACAGATGTGTAGCTGTGCTCTCCAGTTATCTTAAACAGTTAAATAGTACAAGGCCTAGTAATAAGTACAAGGCCTAGTAATAAGTACAAGGCCTAGTAATACCGTTTAGTTAAATAGGTAAATCCAAGGCCTAGTAACACTGGAATTCCTAACAAACAGACCTCTTTCTTCTTCTTTTTTTTATCTTTGTGCTGATTTTAGCAGATGTATTGTCTACTTCACTATATTTTTTCTTCAGCTCAGGCAAGTCTATCATTTAGCTAATCTGTTGACAGTTTGTATGTGATATATGTACCTATGTATTTAAATTGCAACTTTTTCCCAAGTTGTTTCCTATATTTATAGTTCCTGTTTCATAAACTCTCATTCTTCTTTCAAAAATTCCTCTTCAATTGTGAGTACACTTTTCCTCAGGTGTTGTAATATGAAAAAGAAAAGATAAGTATCATTATGAGGTTTCTCTTGAATATCCATCCCTAGGATGACAGAAAACAAAGAGGGTGTATTAGAACTTTTAAGGGTTTATTCTGAAAAGCTTCTTTTCTTTTCTTTCTTTTTTTTAAGATTTATTTTATTTATTTATACAATAACCAGGGTACAGTCAGAAGCGCCGGAGGGTGAGAGGATTCAATAAAAATGAGGATACAGAGTTTTTGCAGTTTGCCAAGTTAAATCCCAAAGTATACATTAATAAGCAAACTGGTTCAAGAATATAAACTTAGGCATGTGTATGTGTGTGTATGTAGAGACAGAGTGGGGAACAGAACAGGCAGACTAATGAAATACACTGCTGAGGGGAGCAGCGGGTGCAACAGGAGAGGTCTGCAGTGCCATGTGGGACCCTCGCCGGCCAGCCGGGATCGAACTGCTGCTGCAGAGGCTGTGGACATCTTCACAGTGTGGCGCTCAACCCACTGTGCCACCAGGGGAGGCCCTAAAAAGCTTCTTTTCATGCTATTGCATTGCTTGTAGATAAATTCGACCTGCTTGGTATTGAATTTCATTCAGTTGAATGATCCATTGCAGGCCAATTCCACATTTAACCCTAAAAATTTCATCACCAATATTGACATTCACATTTCAAGGTATTTAGTTCAAGTGAGTATACTGTTCGTATTCAATAAAAATGAGGATACAGAGTTTTTGCAATTTGCCAAGTTAAATCCCAAAGTATACATTAATAAGAAGCAAACTGGCTCAAGAATATAAACTTAGGCATGTGTATGTGTGTGTATATCTCACACATTCATTCACTCAAGAAATAGTTACTACTCCACATCAGACATCAAAACACGTGCTCCACACTCATATATGGAAAGACATCTGCCTGCCCTGGCGCAGCCCTCAGCCTGAAGCTGGGACTCTCAGCACCACTGCCTGGACCACACTGGGGTATGGACAGACATACCTTCCAAGAGAAACAGGTAGGATTACAACCAGGATGTTGGGAGTATTTTGTACAGTCTGTCTGACATATGCAGTGGCTGCCAGTGAATATTTGTCAAATGACAGTCACATCTTAAGTATTATTTGTCAAAGCTAGCTCCAAGGAGAGGTTGGTCTAGTGTGGGGTGCCCCAGGACACGCAGGAGCATGCTGCAGTGGACTGTGGGCACAGGCAGAGCGTGAGTCCAGGACACCACGCCTGTGTCTATATGATGCTGTGAGTGAGGCTTTGGCGAGGAGGTGGCACAGGAGCTGGCTTTTCGGGAGGGAAGAGCAATTGCCACGCAGGGAAGGTGAAAAGGAAACTAGATGCTTGGTGGTGGTTCTCTTCACTTTAGGGGGGTTAAATCTGCCCCCCCCTCCATCCTAACCTCTGAAGAGATATTGCTGTTTACAAACTGGAAATCACTTTGTAGCATTCAGATCTCTGTAGGCAAAAGCCTGGAAGACACAGGCTGGAGAAGGGCTCAGTCCAGGTGCCAGTCTCAAGATGGCAGCTGTCATGAAATGCAAAAAAAATATCATAAACCGCTTTGGGAATTCAGAGATTAAGATGAAAAGTATGACAGAGTTTGGTTGGGGAAGATGCAATGTGTTCCATTCAGGGAAAGTAATCTGAGACCAGGTCTGAAATAAGAAGGTGATGCAGGGAGACTTGGAAAAAAATAACCCTAAGGCCCCTGAAGGTTAAATGTCAAAGGCAAACTGGAGTGGAGTCAGCAACGCAACACCAATGTTCTCAGAGAAAGCTCCTCTGGGATCTGTTGGGACTGACGCCAGGAACATGAGCCCACAAAACTCGGGCCTGAGCAGGTGCAGGGGCAGCACCTGCATTACACTCCACCTTTCCAAAGAAGTAGTTTCAATGTTCTGTGAGAAAAAGGGGCAAAGTTAGGTGGAAAGCAATGTACTTTTGCCTGGTGTTCTGAGTTTAGAGAGGGAGGACTATTTTGGGACCTCACCCAGGGTGTTAATAACATTTTATACAGTCACCTCTTTGTAAAGTGGATTTTCTTGTGGTATCAGACTGAGCCCTAAACTCTGAGCTGAACTGATGGCAGCTCGTTATGCTAGTGAGCTCTGCTGTGGACAAAGAGAATGTCAGAATAGAAGTTAGAAAGGCCATGGAGACTGTAGGAAGACAGGAAAAGCTGGAATCAGTTTGGATTTAAACCAGGACTTGAAAAAGCCCAGTGAGCTTAGACTTGTAGCTTACCTTGGTACTCAGAAAAATCATCATGAAATTCATTTGGAGACATTTAAAAGTGTACTTGATGAGGTATAAGAGAAATGCTGATAACCAAACCCCTCTGAACTACTTGCCAGATCACTTGGTCCTCACCATATTCCCTATGAACACACACAGCAAGCTCATGCACCCCATCAGAAGCCTCCCCCCAACTCAAGTGTCACCAGTGAAAAACAAAATGACACACACAAACACTACTGGTAAGAGTGAAAGATTCTAAGAATCTAGTGACCCGTAAGTAGAAGAGTGTAGTTTGTCCCTACAGTGTCTGTCCATGGACAACTCCACTGCCAGTAACAGAAACCAGGAGAATCTCTATTTCTTGCTGTGAGTAATCCTCAGAGGAACCTGAATGAAGACAGCAGTGTTCACAGGTGGACGCTGGATGCTGCCTTTTGTTTTTTTAAACCAGAGTTTAAAGTAGTGAGTAAAATTGTATATTAACACAAAAATAAATTTACACAAAAATAAATACGTGCTTGCTTGTATTTCAAAAAGAAACAATGGCGAGATAAACAGAACTAATAAAAACTAAAGGGAGCGAGAGAACACAGGGGAAGGGCAGGCATGGAAGTTAACCCTCTGTGCATGGTTTGGCTTTGGAACACGCATTGTTGTTTACATGCTTTTAAAACATTAGATTACAAAAGGGGAAAAAAGCAATCCCTAAAACTTGAAAACCAACCAAAGCATATGAACTTAACTGATTATCTGATTATCAAGTCAGCAACATAATCACATGGAAAAAGATTATAAAGTCTTTGAAACAGGGCCTCCCCAGTGGCGCAGCGGTTGAGTGCTGGGCTGCGAAGCTGCCCGCAGCCTCTGCAGCGCCAGTTCCATCCCCGGCCAGTGGTGAGGGTCCCACATGGCATGCAGATCTCTCCTGCTGCGCCTGCTGCTCCCCTCAGCAGTGTATTTCGTCAGTCTGCCTGTTCTGTTCCCCGCTCTGGCTCTGGTGAATTCACTCACCCTCCCACGCTTCTGACTGTTCCCCGTGCTTGCATAAATAAATCTTTAAAATAAATAAATAAATAAAAGTCTTACAAAAAAATAAAGTCTTTGAAACAGAATTTTGGTTATAGATGACAAAGTGCACACACACACCTTAAAATGCACTTAGTGGGCTTATAAGTGGTAATGTTGATGGTGTTTTGAAACTATTATTTATAGCAGAATAAAGTATATAAGTAATTTCATTGTCATATATAAACTCTATTTAAAAATGTTTTCTAGTACTATACAATGCATACATTTTACCAAAATCTTGTACATAGAATAAGCCAATTTATAATTTAATCAAGGCATTTTTAACACCATCTCACCATAAAAGTGCTACACAAAATAACCCTGTGTATGATCAAAACACCTCAGGTTAACACATATTATTCCTCTTTTTTTTTTTTTGCTTCCTGTGTTCCCTTATTCCCTAAATTCCTTTTAAGAAGTCCTAAATGAAACTATTGAGTAGTTCACATGTTGATTCTCTGCCTTCCATGGTGAATTCTCCACTGCCTGAACTCCCTGCTATCAGTCCCCGGGACTGCTGGCTGTTGTGAAGATGGCAATGATGAAGGAGATCACACAGGTGAAGGAATTAGGATACTCCCTAGGCATTTCCTACATTTTAAAAACTTTATATTTTATTATTCCTTATACTTTTCAAGCTATCATACTAATTGCTCTTTATTTTGTTCCATGGCTTCAACCCAAATTTGGTCACTTTCGGGACTAAAATTTTCAGTTTTCAACATTATCTTATCCTCTTATTCTTCTGTGAGCATCTCCTCCCCTATCTAAGGAGGTGCAGCTCTTACTTAATTGGGTGTTTATGAGCAGAAGCAAGACCAAGAAAGACTAAGTGTTTTCCCTTAGGGTCACTAGCAGTCCCTGAGCAAGAAAGAGTCTGCTTCTCTCTTCCTCCCTGGCATAACCGGAAACTCACTGAACTATGGTAATTGTGGATCTGGAGTATCTGCCTGCCTTCCCCAGGGCTTAAAATTTGCCTTCAACATCTGCAAATGCACAACTTCACATCCAGAAGCACCCTTCACTGTGTGATCCTTCACATCCACAAGCAAAAATCCTCGTGGGTTCTTTATGGCTTCCTGTGTGTGTGGGGGAGGGGGGTGCGCATAGGCTGACTTAGCAGCTCTTGTCTCCTCTCCTCTCTCTTTAACTCCAGCGCAAAACCACCAGCAAGAAATACTCCCAGTTCAGTGCGGATGTGGCGGAGGCCATGGCCTTCTTTGATTCCATCATCGCGGAGTTGGACACGGACAAACGGCCGCGCACTGCTGAGACCGGCCCTCCAAATGAAGACGTGGACTTCGACGGTGAGTGCGTCCCATCCCCCTGGTGGAACCAGGTGCCCGAGGGTAGGTTAGGATCTCTGGAGTGGGCCTCTAGGTAAGCTGGACTTTCAGGAGCCCCACCTCCCATTAAGGGGAAACACATCAGCAAGTGGGAGCCTGGCCGGAGCTCTCTCCTCCCGCGCTCCTGGCTGTAGTGGCTCCTGCTGTCAACACCCGGCCTGTCTCTCCAGAGCTCTGGGCCCTGTTTGCACAAAAACTTCTTCTCAGTGGTCTTCTTGCCACAGCTGAGACAGGGTAGAACTCCTGTAAGGCTCGAGGAAGAGGTATCAGGGAAACAACTAAGGGAAGAGACTGGAGGGGGAGTTGCTAATGGGTATTGAAAAAGTATCAGTTTTGCCAGGTGAAAAGTTCAGGAGATCTTCCTCAAAACAGCGGGCGTGTACTCAACACTGCCCAACCATGCACTACAAATATTATGTTCTGTGTTATTTCACCACAATTTAAAAAGGGTGGTGGGGACTAGACACACTGTATTTCAAAATTTGACTTTGACCCAACAGATCTTGGCCCTGGGACAGCACTGTGTGACCCTTCACCACAATGTCACCCTCTGCATCCCTTCTCTGAGCTCGCCCTCAGGGCCACCATCCTGCCAGGGTGTCTGCTGAGGCCCTGAGGCCGGAGAGGGAGTGAAGGGAGTGAGGGGGTAGGGCCTTTTTCCTTGCCAAAGTGTGAAGTTGGCCCTCTCCTCGTGGGGAGTGAGGAATCCACCACATTCACAAGGAGAGCCCACTTCCCAGGTCCAGTACTTAAATCTGGGACTTGGCTCCACAGTGTAATTAATGATGATTTTATTTGGGGGTTACTGGCCCCTGATTAGTGAAGTAACAGCTTTTAGTACCGATACTGAATAATTTCTGAGTGTTTTATCTAATGCCCAAAAGTTGACATTCTTTTTTTTTTTTTTAAGATTTATTTATTTATGCATACAAGAGCTGGGGTATAGGCCAGAGGTGTGGGGGGGTGAGAGGATTCACCAGAGACAGAGTGGGGAACAGAATGGGCAGACTGACCGAAGTACACTGCTGAGAGGAGTAGCTGGTGAGTCAGGAGAGGTCTGCAGCGCCATATGGGAATCTCCCTGGCCTGCCACGAATGGAACCCGCACTGCAGAGGCTGTGGACAGCCTCTTAGGTTGCGTCTTAACTGGTTGCGCCACCAGTGAGGCCTCAAAGTTGATATTCTTAAGGTTTCTTGTTGCTCTGGCCTAGAAAGACATGTGTCCCTGAGATTTTGATTCTCATCGATTCTATGAAACTTCACAGACAGTTCCTCCCACTGTCTTCCCCTGCCCACTCTCCCCTGTCAGCCCCTCTGCGCCTGACAAAGAACAGACCTCTCCTTAGGAGTCTGGCTTAGGAGGGCCTCCCCTGGTGGCGCAGCGGTTGAGCGCTGGGCTGCGAGGCTGCCTGAAGCCTCTGCAGCGCCAGGTTCGTTCCCTGGCCACCGGCGAGGGTCCCACAAAAAAAAAAAAAGGAGTCTGGCTTGGGAAACCCAGGACATTGATAAAAGGGTAACAGAATCCACAGAGGATGCCAATGTCATCTTCACAGTTACCACTTTTCAACAGAAAAGACTGTATTTCTCTGATTATAACAGTAACTTGTATTCATTGTATTTATAAATCAGATGAATCCAATAACACACCAAAGTGTAAAGAATATGACCTGTGATACTACCACCCAGAAAGAATAATCACTGTTCACATTTTGGTCTATGTCTTCTCAAAAAGGGTTTAAACACACACACACACACACACACACACACACACTCCCTTTGTTTGCTATTATGTCATCTGCTTTTCTCACCTCACAACTGACAATACGTCTTGGGCATCTTGGGCATCTTTCCAAGTGTATGAAGAGGTGGATGGTGCTCATCTGTAATGGACACACAACAGCCCATTGTGTCGCTAGACCACAATCACTGTCAAATCACCCCCTTGCTCAGCTCTCCTGCCCTTTCTGAGAACCCCCATCTCTCCTCCAGTGGCCACCAGCTCGCGGGAGCACAGCCTGCACTCCAACTGGATCTTGCGGGCGCCACGCCGGCACTCTGAGGACATGGCTGCGCGCACTGGGACTGCACTGGACAGCCAGCTGCGAAGGGGCCTGGAATGCAGGACCCTGGGCACTCTGAGGAGGCTTGAGAGGCACCCCATTTACTTGCCTAAGGCAGTAGAAGGGGCATTCAACACATTGAAATTTAAGCCCAAAGCCTGCAAAAAAGAGTAAGTGCCTGGGACAAGCAGTGTAACCAGATGTGCTGGTTCCCTGCAGACTCTTGGGGTGGTGGTTCTTAAGGTGCCTTGAACCCCCATCCTACCATGCCTTCTTGTGCAACTTTTGAGAAGGAGGTCTTAATTAGAAAACGAATATTTTTCATTTTTTAAATATATTTCTTACATCATTTTCCGTTTTTGCACAATGTATGCATTTTCATCTTGGTTATATTCCCCATACAATTGCACCCCCCTTATTTTGACTCCAATCTGTCCTCTGCCCCCTCCCCAGTCAACAAGCAACTATAAACCAGAGACACCCTGGGGGGGGGAGGGGAGTAGGATCAAAACGAGGGTGGTGGGAATTGTATGGGGTCTATAACCAAGATGGAAATGCATACATTGTGCAAATATGAAAAATGATGTAAAAATGTATAAAATTTAAAAATAATAAAATAAATTAATGTCATAAAAAAAGAAAAAAGAAAACAAATATTTTCCCAATTGTCTATGCGCCTATTCTAGCCAGGCTGCTGCTGTCGCCACTCCTAACAGTCCCTTCAGCCCAGGACCTCCCTCTGCTCCACTCAGCCCTCAGGGTTTGCACTCCAAATCCCTGCTACCTACTCACTCCCGGCGGTGAGCACTATCCCACCCTGCCCAGCCCAGGCCGCTGCAGAAACTCCATCTTTCACAGCAGAAGGGCCTATGTAGGCACAGCCACCGGTTTTTCTTTGTTTTTACAAAAACCAACAACTCTTATGGATCTTGGCATTTTCTAAAGATCATTTTCCTTCCTTAACAGGGGGCCATGTACTGGACATATTAAAGCTCTTCTCACCCCATCAGTCAGGGCCAGGCTGAGGTCCAGCTGAGGTTCCATCCACGACTTCCACGAGGATACTTTGTCCTCTATAAAGTCCAGCCCTGAGGGGGTGGGCACCTGATGGTCTCCAAAGGGCTGGGGAATAAGAGCATTCCTTTCTGGTGTGCCCAGCCAAGCCAACCCTAATCCCCTGCCTCATTCTTCCCTTCCAGCCTGGAGGGCTCCAGACAGATTCTCTTCAACATCTCAGGAGATGACATGGACTGGGATGCGGAGCTCTTCTCCCTGGAGCCCCTAGGGTCTCCGGAAGAGGACTACTACGAGGCAGAGAACCCCAGAGGGCAGTGGCATCTTCGGCAGCCGCTGTGGGAGCGGACGGTGCCCTGACTCCTGGGCCTCCCAGCCTGACCCAGGCTGGATCCCTGAGGTACCTGCTTCCAGTGCAGCCTAGGGGGCTTGGTGGAGTTAAAAATGGAAATGGTAACAAAATCCAGAGCATGAACACACGCCTGCAGGTGCCCAGCCAGTGCCAAACACACCTATAGCCTCCCAGAGGGCCTGCCGAGGAAACTTTGGGATCCTGGCTTTCTTGTACAGGCTAGTCAATAGCAGAAGAAATGAAAGCCCTTGAGTGGGAGTATCCAAGCTCAGTCTCCAGCCTCCCCTGACCTTGGCTGGTTCTCTGTGTGTCTGTCCAAGCCACTGTAGGCATTGCATTCAGTACAGGAAACAAACCCTCCCAGAATCTCTGGGCCAAACATTCGAAGAGGGAGCTCCTCTTTCTGTGGGGCCCAGCAACACTCTGGTTATGTACTGAGGTTGCCTCCTTTGCACAAGATGCAGTTCAGGAAGCAGCTCCTTTTGCTTTAACTCTTTTCACAATATTCTGAAAACTTCTGCTAAATTAGTCAAAAGATGAGGCCTGACAGTAAAAACCGGGGGAGTGTGTTGGGGCCCTGCCACCAACCCCAAACTGGGCTCCACTTCTCAAGGGCAATTTGCTGAGGAAGGAAGGAGAGGGAGTGGCTCTTTTTTCCAATTCTCACTTAGAAAATCCATATAGATAACCTGTGTAGCCAATTTATGAAAAGCTATGCCTCTCCCTCCCCTCAGTAAGAGGGTAATCAGAATCATTAAGTTCTTTTTTGACTAGAAAGAATTTCTGTACTTCAGTATCTCAATCAGAATTACATTTTAATTATATTCTTTGCATTTCTCGTATACCTTTTGCATTTTTGCATGTAGTTATGCCCACTCAAGTTTGAGAACCACTGGTTTGGAGAATACCCCACGCTTTGCCTATTCTCACTTATTCTGGAATTTTCTTGTTAAAAAAATCAGTCATCTAGGGGTTATGCCCATGAATGCAAGAGTACTGGTGGGGATCAGGAAGGGAGACAGACCAGGAAAAACTGGTAATCGAAATTAAGTCAAGGGTGATCTAGGTTAAAGGACTCAGAACTGGATAAAGTTCCCTTTCTCCAGGTGCAGGTAATGGGATCCTTTATGTTCAGTTTTTTTAAGAAAGAATCTCTTTTTCATGTGAATCTGACAATCTGAATCTTTGTAACTCCTGTGAGGGGAAAAAACAAACCTAATATATGGCATTCTTAGAATTTTTTTATCAATACATTTTCAGAACAAAAATATACTGAAATTGTTTTAATACTGGGTCTTTATTATTTTTTTTTTTGAGTGCCAATGTCAATGTTTGGAAGATTTCTTCATTTTGTTGCTTATACTAAACCCACTATAGCCAGAAGTCTGACTGAAAAATAAATGTTTGGGAGATGTGTTTTATAAACTGCATGAAAGCACACAAGTAACATTATCGTGGATATTTCTCGTCCTCAACTAAGGCCTTGTTTTGAAGTCCTGTATATGAAAGTTCACTGTTGAGGGTAAACTCAGAAAGAATGTCTCTTTATTCTCCCTCTTATCACACTACAGTTTATCATGGATTGACCCTGACATGGCACTGGGGAGACACTGTGTACATTTTGCTTTTACAGATAAGAAAAAAATAAACAGGACGGAGAGGATGTTTGGAATCTCAAAGGTTTTTTTTTTTTTTTTTTTCCTAGCATGTATTGCTTGTAGGACATGAAGCTCTGCTTTTCTTTTTCTATCCTTTTTTTTTTTTTGCCTTCATGTTTTGTATATTTTTCTGTTTCATGAGACTATACACAGACTGGCTGAAAAATTCTCAGATTCAGAAACAGTCCAGTTTGTCTTTGGAATGATTTTAAGTCTTTAAAATTGATGATAAACCCCCAATTTCTGAGCTCTGCCTGGAGAATCCTGAGGTGGTGTCTGCTGGGGATCATGAGGTAAACAAATTTCAGACAATAAAAGTCAATTCAGTAAAACGAGCTGATTTGATTCTTTTCCCTCTTGCACTGACCATTATTCAATCAGCTGGTCTTTGCTGTGTGATGCTAACAGATGCTAACAGTCCCAGCTTGTCATGGTTTGATATATGAAACTGACTAGCCCTGGTCAGAATGTCCCACAAGAGGGCAAAAAGAGGACATGCGTGTGTGGCATCGGGTTTGTTTTTAAGCTCTTGATTTCCAGCTTCCGCCACAAAATGTCTTCTTCAAAGGGGAAGACACACAGGGACTTTTAGTTTGAACCTTATATACCCAACACTGCATGGCTGCTCTGCAACTGAGAACATGGCTGCCAGGATGAGCCTTCTGGTGCAGCTTAGACACAGCCCATATGGTCCTAACAGCTCCATTCCCCTCACCACGGATGGCCTTTTTACAGTGCATTAGTTTTCCTTTGCTGTTAGAAAAAATTATCACAAATGTAGGTGCTTAAAAGAACACCCATTTATTCTCTTATAGCCTGGAGATCTGAAGAACCAAAATCAGTCTCACTGGGATAAGTCAAGGTGTGTGCAGGCTTGACTCCCTCTGTAAGCTCTAGGGGATAGTCTATTTTCTTGCCTTTTTCAGCTTCCAGAGGCTGCCTGCCTTTTATGGTCTCTGACTCTTCCTTGCCACCATCCCAAGGCTTTGCTTCTGTCATCACATATCCAACTTCCATGCTAAGTTGCCTCCCTCTTATAAGGAGATTTATAAGCCCCACATAGGTCTCAAGATCATTAACTTAATCACATCTGCAATGTCCCTTTTGCCGTATCATAAAACAATTATAGGTTCTGGTGACGAGGACGGGGACATTTTTAGGGGGGGGTATTACTCAGCTTCCCACACACGACATCACAAGATGCCTTAGTCCTTCTTAGCAAGTTGGCCTGATTTTCTTTTAAACTTGATTATTACAGCCCAACATCTATGGCTAACTCTGACTTAGCTGTCAGCTCTGAATTCCTTTGGTTCTAGCTGCTACAGGGTAATTTTGTTAAAGTGAAATTCTATCTTGTCTGACAGGTTCCTATTTCGGAAAGACTTTTCAGTTACGCAAAGTCCCAAGTGGAAAAACAGCAGAACCTGGTCAATCCTGTCCTGGCTCTACTCCTGGTGCCAGGAACGAGCCTACCTCAACTATTTGTGAACTGAGTGACTGGTTGACAGGTTGTATAAATGAATGAAATGACAATGAGCGGAGATCTTTAGGGGAATCTGAGGCATCAATATGTAAAGGGTTAGAAGAAAGTTGGGAGACCAGCTGGATAACTTTGCAGTGGTGACTGGGATGGGGGCGGGAGTGGTGGTGACTTAAATGACTGTATTCAGGATAAATTCTTAAGTCGGACTTACAGCTATTTAGGCTTGCTGTGAATTAGACACAAGAGATTCAGGTTTCAGCCTGAGGTACTAGTGACTGCAGGTACCATTTATTTAGCTAAATAAAGAAAGGGCTAGCTAGTAGGGAAGGAATTGGGAGGAATGCTTGGGAGGGAAATAAAAAGTTCTATTTTGGATATATTAGTGTAGAGTTTTCTGTAGACTTCCAAATGACAAATTAGACATCTGTGTGTTGAGCTCAAGGGGAGTAGTAGGGTGTAGAGGTACAAAGCTGGAACCTGCCATTGTAGAGATGGAATCTGAAGTCGTGGGGTGATGTGGTCACTAGGAACTGAGAGGAGATCTAAGAGGGAGTGGGGTGGAGGACTGGGGTCTAGAGAACCCCAAATTTAGCAGCTAGGAAGAAAAGGAATATGTATGGTATAAGGAAAAACAGCCTAATGTGTTGGATAAAATGCTGCAGGTTTGGGAGGGATGGAACACAGGAGAAGGGTGGGTTAGGGGTATATGGCATCCCCTGAAGCCAACTGAGAAAAGCAGCTTTGAATTTGATTCAAAAGTCTACTGTCGGGGCCTCCCTGGTGGTGCAAGCGGTTAAGCGCAGCACTATGAAGCAATCTGCAGCCTCTGCAGCATGAGTTCAATCCCCGGCCGGCCAGGGAGCTACCCACATGGCGCAGCAGAGCTCTCCTGTCTCACCCGCTGCTCCCCTCAGCAGTGTATTTCGTCAGTCTGCCTGTTCTGTTCCCCCCTCTGTCTCTGGTGAATCCCCTCACCCCCAGGACCTCTGGCCCGCACCCCAGCTCTTGTTTGCATAAAAATAAATAAATCTTTAAAAAAAAAAAAAAGGCTACTGTCTATGTCTAGAAAGTTCACTGACCTGCCCATGAGACCCCACTATAGAATTCTTCAGTCTGTTTCTAATGCTCAAGCCCTGCTGAGAGGTAGTTGAGTGTCACAGACCAGGTCCCTGCAGGCGGCTGCAGTTTTTTGCAAGACTTGATACCCCTGCCCCTAGGTAGTCTCTGGCCCACCCTGGACGCAGGTGGGAGTGCAGTGAACTTCAGGCCCCTCCAGGTTTCTTATCCAATGAGCAAACTTCCCCTCTCACCTGGAGCCCTTCTGTAGACCCTGGAGCCCAGGTTGTGTAAATGTGGGCAGATGACTCTGCTCTCCATGCCTCATGTCTCTCAAATGTGAGGGGGCATGACAATTACAGTTCTTAACTTGGAGCTCATGGTGAGGATGAAATGATGCTCATCTGGTACAGTGCCCAGCACTTACTGTAGCAATTGTTCACTAGTGTCATATTAAAGCATGATGATCTGCCATCTCTTAGAATAGTCAAAATATTTGCCCAAGTTCTGAAAATAGCTGGAAAAGAGAAAGGCAAAAATGTTTTGACACAATTGGGAAAAAAAACATAGCCTTTTGAGAAAATTGTTTGGAAGAAGACAGCACTGAATTAACATAAGGTTAAGAGCAGGCTTGTAGAGATGCGGCTGGAATCTCAGCTCTTCCACCCGTCAGCTGATGGCCTTGGGCAAGGTACTCAGCTGCTCTCAGCCTCAGTTTCCTGATTACAAAATAACACAGCACAAGTGTCTATTTCACGGGGTGTGGTGAATACCTAGAACCACGAGTGGACAAAGTGGGCATGTAGAACAATGCATATCGCAATCAATGTCATCATGGGCTCTTGAACAAGAGCAGCACACAAATGATGGTCAGTTGATTACAATGTGATTATCCTTTATTGTCATGCCTCCTTTACACATCGTGCCTTGATTTATAGGATCATCTGGTTTATCTGATGTTTTCCCAAAATTAAATGGAAGTATAGGTTAGAGTCAAAGGCTGCTAAATTTGATCTTAGCTGAGCCTTGAATGGCTTGCCACAGCCCTTATCTGACTTGGGTCTCCAGTCTTGCCTGGTTTCTGTGTGATGTGTCAAGGTAAACGTGCATTCACTTTGCAGTGACTGGCCGGTCACCCACAACAATGATAGGCCCACTTTACACGAGGAAACTGCCACTCAGGGAAGACAGTGACTTTTTTCATGATTAATGTAGGCCTCAGGCACCAGCCCCAGAAGGAGGACGTGAACCAGTGTCCAGTCCTCTGAGTCATGCTCCTCCACCTAATCAGTACCAGTGGCTGTTCCAAACCACAGGCCTCCCTGCCGGGAAGGAGAAATTAATCACACAGAGGCCTGCTGGTATGTGGCTGCTTGGCCACATGGTGGCGCTTCATGCCTAACAATTCCTCGGGTCTGCATGCCCGGAAGATTTGAAATTCAAACCACAACCCTGGCCAGGGAGCACAGGGCGCATAGGGATAGTGGGGACAAGCTGGATTCATTAACTGGTTGCCGCATTGTAGGAAAAACCTGATTCTTGCTGGTTTCATCAAAACCAAGGGGAAGGCTCTGGTTTGAAACCAAAGGACCTAGAGTTCTGACTTCAGAGTCCAATTCGCACAGTGTTTTCACAACATTGTACCAACTCCACATACAAAGTAAGTAAAACATCTTGATGAAAGAAAAAGGCTCCAAGTGAGGCAGAGTTTTGACTTTCCAGAAAAGAGATTTTTCTGAAGATACCACCTCACTCCAAGATAGGCCTAAGCTTCTTCCAGGGGAAAAAAAAAAAAAAAAAAAAAAAGCTGATATGATCACCAACCATTTTTATTACTTTCTTGGGGGTTGTATAGGACATGAGTCTAAGTTAGAATGCCAGCTCTGACACTAGCTAGTTTTCCAGCCACAAAGCTACTTAACTTCTTGATGTTATTTTAAAGGAGGTAAAGTTTACAGAACCTGCTTTATGACGGTGGTAAGGATGAATTAATGTCCCCTGGAACCAAATGGAATTGCTGATATTTGGCAGTTTTTCACCCACAGGGGTGGCAATTTCTTAGGGTTCATCCTACAGAGCTTGGACCAGGCACATAGGGAGGCTTTGTAGACAGTGAACTAGTGCCCTCCCAGCTAGCATCACAAGAGCACAACAAGCACTTAACTGAGAACATTTAGAAAATAAACTTCCTTCTTCTAGAAAATTTTTCCTGCAGATTCTTACCGATAGGTGACTGTTGTTTCTGTGTGTCAAAATTCCAGATATGAAAATATGACTGAAATAAATCTGTCCTTACATATCACAACTGTACTATTAGCCAAATCTTTCCTACCTCACGCTAGGGGGGAGACCAGAACCAAGGTGAGGCCAGTGGCCATCCCAGTTGTTACCCCTTCCCTCCACCATCCAGGGCCTCCCTTTGTATGTTGTGCACAACTTGGCTCTCTGGGAGAACTCT